TGCCATCAAAAACAAAGCAAACAGAAAAAAATCATGTTTTATTCTTCAAATTCAGTATTTTTTAATAATCCAGAATGTATTTAAAAAATCTTGCAATCCAAAAAAATAAGATCCAATATTACTCAGCGAGAGTTTGCGGGCATTCCTCCGGTAATACTAGGGTCACTCCTTGCTGGGCAATCATGGAGTAGATAGAGAATTCGGTAAGGCCTTTATAAGGAATCTATGAAGTAAACCACACACTTTTTTAGAAGCATTTAAGCATTATAGAAACTAATTATTCAAATGTAGCACTGAGCATAAATGATTATCTACCAAACCCATTATTTGGGTAGAACTAGGAAGAAGTGAAAAAATATACAGTAACAAACCAATACCTCTCTTGCGATCATTTCCCATAATACAACCCCGTAGCTCCACACATCTGTCGCCGTCGTAATACCTTCTTTTTGACTAATTATTTCAGGACTAAAACCAAAAATTTTAAGTTACGAGCAAAACTTCACTGCCTAAAATACTTCTGTTAAAGCACCTCATCCAAGCTGCAGTGCCGCCCCAAGACGGGGCAGTCCAAGAATGAGTCAAATTCTTTGAAGTTCCAAAATCGCAAAGTTTGCAAACAAGATCACCGCTCAATACCACATTCTTCGATTTAAGGTCACGATGAATAATTGTATCTGGAGCTTCATAATGCAAATAGCCTACGCCTTGAGCGATCTAAATAAGAAACAATGTTTCACTTTTCAGAAACGACTACCCCCTCAACAAAATTTTCACCAAATTTATACCTAAGGAGAAACGGCACTTCCAAAAATTTAAATCTATCAACATTTTCATTATGAGAGTCCAATTTAACATTTCAAAATAACAAATCCCTGGAACTGACCAAACTCTCTAATTCTTTTTAAAGTTTCATTTAAAGCCGCGGCCTTTACCAAACTACTCTTAAAATGTCTTCAACGTCAAGAGCATCAAGTTTCAAAGTTGGCAGCATACCTGAATTGCCCACGTAAGGACTTGGTCAAATTCAATCTCACTTGAGTATGATTTATGCACATAATCATACAACGAACCGTTTTCAGCAAACTCTTAAAATAAACCAATATTGCTCAGCATTATTTAGAAAGATGACATTAATACAAAAATACCACTGAAAAAGCAGAAAAATGTTATGCAAGTGAGAAAATAAACTACCTGTGACGATAAAAAAGTCCGGATTGGTATGTGATACGCCAAAAAACTGTATTATATTTCGGTGCCTAACCTTCGAGAGAATATCGGCCTAAAAACAAAAGCATGATTTTCAGAAGACCCCAACGGCATCAACATAATAAAAGGAGTAAAGAAGCCCTAACCTTTAAGAATCTGCCTTATACCAAAACAGTACTGTTATAAACTGTAAAAGGAATAAAAAGCAAACAAGGGTACCAATCAAGTTTCTTAAAAACAATTAATTTGATAAAAAATTAATATGAATATAGAAGCTAAAAATGAAGTGAAGAACCAGTTCCATATTCACAGAAAATCGTTTTTTCATATACCTCTTTCTCAAGCATAAAGACCTTCTTGATTGCCACCTGAACTTCTTTACCACCGGTTCTCCAGGTGCCACGATAAACAGAACCATATGCACCAGCACCAAGTGCTGCTCCAAGAGTAAGATCCTCCCGCGGTATGATTGGATAGTTAGATATCGGTGCTCGTTCATCATCACCGGCACCACTGCTCCCATCCTGCGACTGTGAACTGGAACATGCCGGAGGACTATTATCCAACGGCATGTTTCTAAAATATGATTTTAAATTAACCTTCCATCAAATTTCCAAACTGTTTTTGTCGAAGGAATTAATAAGGAAAAGTACCAGAAAACAAGTAACTTTTGTCTGAAACACGTATTGCAGATGGTCAACAGTACATCAATACAAAAATTAGGCTTAATAAACGTGGACAAGAACAATATGCTTGATAAGCAAGAAAAATAAAAAGCCAGTTTAAGTGTGAAGCAGCAGAAGATCATGAGAAATTAATGCAAAAATAAATAAATAAATAAGTGTAATTTCGGTATTAAACGTAAAAATCAGCTTTTTTTTTTTTGGATTTCTAGTCAGCAGTTAGAAATTTGTAGCCCGTGATAAAAACGAGTAATAATTTAGGAAAGGCAAAAAAAATCTTACACAGTGTTTCAATATTAGTAATTTTTAAACGACAACAGCTTAAATCGACTCTTAATTAGCAAAATAACAGGAAAAAAAAGAAAAGAACGAGGAATGATAAGCTGACAAGACGACAATGTTGTCCACACTTACCTTTAATCCTGCAGTTAAACTTTAATTGTCATTAGTATCTTTCCTGGGATAAACTGTACACCATTGCTTCTGCTTCATATATTCTAATTAGTAGATTTTAATCAAAAACAATCTGAAAAAAAAGAAGAAAAATTACACCAAAATAACTCTGGTTATTAGCGTTCTGTCGGCAGCAATCGTTGAAAAAGACTTATGAATAATCAGAAGTAGCCACTTCCAACAACTCTATAATCATGTCAATTCCTCAAAACGGTGCAAAGTTAAGTAAAATAAATTTTAAAAAAATTTTCTTGTCACATAACTCCAACTTCTTTTTTTTTTTTCCCCCCCCCCTCCTTCTCCCTCAGTTATCCAACCAGCATACAGTAACAAATGTAGATCAAAACACAGCATATAGTTAATGAATTAAACTGAAAAAAAAAAAAAAAAACAATCCAAAAGCAAATTTTTTACATGATCTACTAAACTTCAAAAAAAAAAAACTTTTTTTTTAACAAAGAAAACAACAAGTGATACTTAAAATCATTGGCAGACAGCAGCAAAAGTGAATGTTTCCACTAAACTATCACTTTGGCTACCGCTAACATTATCAAAATCAACTATAAAGTATCCAATGTTTACATTTTTTAAGTTAACTGCAACAATTTTTTTTTCTCCAAATCATTCAACAAATATTGACCACATCCAAACCAATTGTCTATCGATTGAATAAAAACAATGAAGATTGGAAAAAAAAAATGACAAGAATCTTTAAATCGTCGATTAACGGGATAAAACTGCTGCAAATGGGCGATATAACAAAATGAATACTTTCATACTGCTCTCTGTCAGCATTGTATTATTATTACTTTTCTTTTTGCACTCAAATAGATAAAATTTTTGAAGAACAAATTCAATAACGAATACACAACGAACAATCAAAGTGTCATCGTTCTTTTGCCAACTTCCTTCACCCAATCTTTCGCCTTTCCTCGCTGTTCGTTTCGTGAGCAACAGAAGAAAAAAAACTCATAAAAAAGATGCTATGGAAGCTTTCATAAAATTCCTCGTTAAGGAAAATTATTTTGTCCTGTAGACATATATTATAATAATTTCACTTAAAATTATAACAGTTATTAGAAGAAAAACAAACAAAAGTATTAATTTTTAGAATAAATAAACAGCTGTTATACGTGACAGGGAAGAAGAATGCGAAGGCATTATCTAATGATAAATACATCTAAAAGTAATTTTTTTCCCTTTTGATAATTTCTTTTTGTAAAAAATAAAAAATAACGGTTAATAAGTTGCACTGTGCCGGAAAAATTGTTCACTAAATTTGGAGAGACTAAAAAAAACTCACAATCAACATCAACAGTTTTAACAACAACACAAAGCACAACAAACTGTACACAAAAATCAGACCAAACAGTCGAAAAAATAGTATTTTAACTCAGTCGCTGAGATACTACTCCTCCCCCCCTATGTGACAACGACGGCAACGAAGACGACGACGACGTCGATGAAGAAGATGATGACGACGACAACATCAACGAAAAGGAAAACGAAAATGACAAAGACAACGAAGATGACAATAACAACGACGATAGTTCTTCCCGTCAATTTTAATGAGTTCTCCTCCGCCCGGTCGTTTGACTGCCGTTACAGTTGTTGTGTTTTGATGAAACGGTGGGAACCCCCATCTCTCAATGTATTTGGCACGTCAAACTGAACAGAAAAGTACAACGGATTTTTTCAAGTTTTCTTTCTTTGCTAAGTACAAACAGTAAACACAACAAAAGAAATACATATACATTATATAAATAAATAAATATGCACATATCAAAAGCAAGAAAAAAAACGTGGAAAAAAAGAATGTTAGTTGATTTTGTGATGCAAACTAACTTCGTTGAGGCTAAAAGAAAGCAGTGAAAATTCTTTTCTTTTTAACGACGACTTTCCAAAGGTATTTTTGGATGGACTCAATAAAGTGTTTCTACCAAAGCTAACCAAAAGAACCACAATCACTTAGCAAGTTTTAAAAATCTTTATATATATATATATATATATATATATATATATA